TAAACCAAACTACTGGCAGTGAAATGTATTTCTATTTCTATTTGTTGGATCTCCCAACGATAGCCTGCTGTTGTATATTCAACCAGAACATACAGGAGAAGGCCATTTTTAAGCAGTTTAACTGAATTTGACAATTTCTAAAGTTCTGGGTTACAAAAGTACCAGAACCTTTAAGAACTTACCATTGCTTTATTCGCCTCCGGTCATTGCACTTCATCTCATCTATGTTGTTAAATGGCTAATCCAGAGGCAATACACCGGCATCAACAGGGTCAGTGCTGCAGGATTAACCGAAGGCTCTGAACTCCTCACGGAGGTCCCCGACTTCTCTGATCAGCTCGTTTATCATGATTACGTTTTTGGAAGGCTGCATCTGTTGACAAGAACAATAACACAAAGAATACTGGCTTGTGATAAACTGGATAAGCATTGTGATGAAAAAAAAAAAAGACTATATCCATAAGTGATGGCTTCACATTTTGCATTCAGGTTTAAGTAGTTCAATCTGTTAAAACGGTTTACAATTTAGCCTTTTACATATAAATGGTATATGATAGCAAAGCAAAATATGATGATATTCAGCAGCATAAATTAGTGTTTTGAAGTTAAGATTACAATGAAATTGTGATGCAGCTCATTGTTTCAAAGCATACCGTCATTAGAGAAGGTACTGAACGCAGACTATTTGCTGGGGAGATGGCATACCTGTGTAGGTTGGCGAAAGGAGCCGGTAGCTGGCCCGAGCATCATGATGGTTGCTAGAAGTGAGTTGGGGGGCAGACTGCAGAGTGGTGGAGCCTGTATAGAAAAATGTTTAAAAAATTAAAAATTACATACAACTCGTCTACAGAGGTTCCTGTTCTCACACACACATATACACACACTAAACATTACATTATTACCTGGTACTTTCACACGTGGGGCCTGGGGAAACCTTTGATTTTGGAGGTTGCTCATCATCAGTCTGTAACTGTATAAGGGATTTGGTCTGAAAGAAAACAAAACATCAGTATTGTGTTTCTTGTTTATTTTGCTTTAAGTTACAGTAAAATTTTACATCACACAAAAATGGTTAAAAACTAGCAATAATTTGAAGACACGAGTATCTTACTTGTTTATGGGTCGATTGTACTTTACTGATCTGAAATGAGAAAATGGGACAAAAAACAATGTCAATAAAAAGAGGAAAATAATGTTATTCAAGATAAGCTCCAGGTAGGAACATTCATTATTAAAGTCGCGGAAATGTAAAGTCACGTGGGCATGTCACGTGATCATTCGGTCTCAGGTGACTCTTTCACGTGTTTATAAATGGAAACCGGTGCGGTCAAAGCTTCAAAAGTAACACACGCATTGTACGCATCTGTAGCGGCAACTTTACGTTTCTGGATCATATTGCACACATTTGTAAGTCGTTTGAGGGGATTAACTCTGTATACAGCAGCCATAGCGCGAGAGCAAGCCGACCGCACGGCTAACAAAAGCAAATCGCCTTATAACGGAAAGACATGAATGTGGGTCATGGAAATGTTTTCTTTGTTCAGCGTTGGTGTTGTCTGTGAAATTTATACTTTTCTTCTTCCGTTTAAGTTAGCTTTAGTAATATCATACATACGTCGACCTTCCAATAACGAATAACTAAATTCTCACATTCTTATCTGATAAAGCCGAGAGTAGTGATGTGACGTTATGTATCGAGGCTTCGGAGCGTGTGTCGAGTAATGGAGGGGGCGTTTCCGCGAAGCTTCATTTATGGGAGGAGCTGAAAATGATGACGTCCGAAGCCTCGCTGCCCGGCTGTACCACGTGACTGGTTCATGAAGTGGTTCGAACTTTGCCGCGAGCTATGACAGCGATATAAACCCCTCAGACTTCATTCAAAATGTGGGTGTTTGATGGAGAGTTGCGGTTAGTGAGAGTTTGGAGACAGTTTGGAGGTTTATGAGAGTGAGGAGAGAAAGTCAGGAGAGAATGGAGCCAGCTAAGAAGAGGAGGATGTCCTCCCCTGTGTGGGAACATTTTGATCTTATTCCTCCCAACAAGGTATGTAAATTTCTACAGAAGATGTATTTTCATAATACTGATGGTGCAATACAATTTATGTTGAGCGCTTCTACTTTTGTACAAGGTGAAGTGTTTGCTATGTGCCAGGGAGCTGGGATATAACAACAACACCTCATCCATGCTTAGGCACTACAGAGCTTTGCATGAGAATAAGGGGGACACCGATTGTGGAGCAAGACCAGGTGAGCCATCAAATGCATGATAATATAGCATGCAGTAATGTTACTAAATGATATAACAATATTATACAACTGTTAATAAGTTACGTGTGTGATATTTATATTTGTGCTTTGTCTTTATTGTCTTTCCTCAGGAGAACAATCTCAAATAGATGAAGACCTGGTTAGCATGGTGATTGAGGACTCCCAGCCATTTAGCATTGTGGAGGACAAAGGATTCAAAAGATTTGTTAAATCATTAAATCCTAGCTATGTTCTCCCCACTAAAAAGGTTATAAAAGCAGTGAAAATTTAGTTTTTACAGAATAAAATGTGAACAGGCAGGACTGAGGCTCAAAGCCTCAGTGTGTAGCTGTCCATACCTCAACGTTACAAAAGCACAACTACTGTCCACACCCCAACCACACCTCACCTCACAGTAAATGATCATTTCCATTTCAAGCATTTCCAAATAATCATTTCCCATACTGCCACTATAAATATACACAGTATACTGCCATCACTACAATATACATGTTTTACACACTCCTTTTGTTGTTGACATTTACAGGCTGTGTGCAAAATGCCACACTCTTCAAATTCATGCCAGCTATTATTTTTACGTCCAGTAGGTGTCCTGCTAGAGCAAATGAAGCTTCATGAAGCTTCGCGTTGGGGTGAACCAATTGGATGAAAAGCTTCAGTGCTTCATGGGGCTTCATCTGCCCATCACTAGCCGAGAGTGTCGTGCACAAACTCCGACTGTGTCTCCGGTGTTCTGACAAAACGTCCGGTCAACTCTGCTGAGCTTAAATGGAATTTTCCCGCAGCCTGATGGGATGTACCACTGTGAGAGGGGTGCTATGGAATAGTCCAAGTGGTAGCAGCTTTAATTTCCCGCTCAACCATAAATCGATGGTTTTTCAACGTGATTGTTGTCACCTTGTCAACTATAAATAGATCAACAATCAACGATGACAGAACAACGGTGAATCAATGTTATTTCATGTCAGTGTCAGGTTCCATCAGTATTTAATGTTTTTCAACATGATTTTGACATTTCAATCCTGACGATTCTGATGGATCAGATGAAAAATCAACATTAGTTCAATGTCTCCTTGCTATCTGGGTCTGGAAGCAGCCGGCCCCCCTCCCCTTTCGACGGGTTGTGTGTGAGACTTTAAATCATCAAACTATAAAATATAACTAGAGGAAAAAAAGAGACCTCTACTCATGCTGGGCTACAGGAGGACAGCATGAGAACAGGAAACAAAAAACCTCCTCTGCACAGAAAGCACATAAATGTCCACAGTACAACATTATAGAGCCTAGAGTATTTAAAAGTAGAATGGGAGGCAGAGCCTTCAGTTTTCAGGCCCCTCTTCTGTGGAACCAGCTTCCAGTTTGGATTCAGGAGACAGACACTATCTCTAAAATTGCTTCAAACTTTCCTTTTTGCTAAAGCATATAGTTAGGGCTGGACCAGGTGACCCTGAATCCTCCCTTAGTTATGCTGCTGGTGGATTCCCATGATGCATGTGGTTTTTCTTCTTCACTCACTATGTGTTAACAGACCTCTCTGCATTGAATCATATCTGTTATTAACCTCTGTCTCTCTTCCACAGCATGTCTTTATCCTGTCTTCCTTCTCTCACCCCAACCAATCACAGCAGATGGCCCCGCCCCTCCCTGAGCCTGGTTCTGCGGAGGTTTCTTCCTGTTAAAAGGGAGTTTTTCCTTCCCACTGTCGCCAAAGTGCTTGCTCATAGGGGGTCATATGACTGTTGGGTTTTTCTCTGTATGTATTCTTGTAGGGTCGACCTTACTATATAAAGTGCCTTGAGGCGACTGTTGCTGTGATTTGGAGCTGTATAAATAAAATTGAATTGGTATCAGACATACTAGTGGTGCAATCTAATGATTAACATTTTAATTGATGCTCAGTGCTGCATGTTGCATCCTAAATGTTATGCAGCCATCTGCTGACAGCTGCCACAGAACTGCAGCATTGTTGTAGATCAATGTCCTAATGCTGTGAATCTAAGACCTGATCATGTTATTGGTTTCAAATGCCTTTGTTTAGACACTTTTTGACCCTGTCCATTGAACGGTCCTAAGATGGCATATCTCAGTGCCACCGCTCCCAAATAACTGAATGGAAACGTGCAGGTAAACAGACACATTAGCTGGAAACCTGTGCTAGGAATCTCATTGTACGAGGACCAATGAATACCTGTGTAGGTGAAACTGCATGTCATTTGCATGTGATGTTTTCAATTCTCACATATTATTTAAAACAATAACGTCTTTTATGGTTAAATCCTCACTGCAGTTTTGCACAAACTGTAAACACCAAAAATGATTTTAAATTCTCTTAAAATATAATACTTGGTATTTTATTATTTTTTATTTTATTATTGTTATGTTCTTTCTTAATATACATGTACACTTTGTGCATGTTCATGTAAAGCTGAGAAACACGAGCATTACAGGTAAATGTTGCTACACTGATTATCTGTATATGAAAATAAAACACTTGTCGACTGGACACTACAGCTTAGCACTGTTAATACGAAAGCCTACTTTTAGCATACTTCCGTCGGGCCGGCGTCTCTGCCGCTCAGTCGTAGTCTGTTTTCCATACAAATGGCTTCATGGCAGAGTTGCACTGTGTCGGTACAGCCACATATTGCCGCAAGTTGTCCAATCAGCAATAGGGTCCACTCGAACGACGAAAAGGAGCGTAGGCGTTCACGGGAGTGCTGCGCGGTCACGTTATTCTGCTGTCACGAGCCTGATCCGAGCCGTACAGTGCAGGCTAACGAATTGGAGCGGACATCAGCTATTCAGGACATAATATTTTTAACCAAATTTAGTGCGCGAATAGAGAGCTCAAGGAAGTCCGACCGCTGGTTGGTATTTGAGACGATCTACTGAGTTATTCCGATCGACCGGTGATGTGCTCCAGTATTTGAATGATATTGCTAGTCAGCTAGCTAGCTGTTAAGCTAGCTTTACGTTACGTGACTCGAAGTAATTGAACAATATACTCTCGGACAGCATTCTTACTAACACGTCTGAGTGCATTTAGCTTTAAGACATTTATCAGTAGCCGTTTTTATCTTTAGCAAATTTTTGTGGTATGAGTTATACGTAATTTCTAATCCAAGGTAGATGAGGATTGAATGAAATAACGTTAGCTTGCCATAGCCAAGGAAACAAGCCAGCTAACAGGGATAACGTTAACTTATCCCGCTACTTGTTGATAGACTGCCATCCAGCGGATCTAGTAAATGCTACCTGAGTTACCCACCTAAAAGCATCGACCGAACCTGGTAGGCAGCAGTCAGTCACAAAGTTGCAGACAGGCAAACGGCTACTACTAAACATCAAGTTTGCCATCGTCGACTCCAGTCCGCTGTGAGAGGGTGACCGGCATCAGTGTTTTTCGGAGAAGGCCAGAGTGAGGACAGAAACCTGCAGACATGCCGGCTGTGTCGAAAGGAGATGGGATGCGCGGATTGGCTGTTTTCATTTCGGACATTAGAAACTGTGAGTTACCTTTCTATATGCTACTTCATCATATGTGTTGTTATTTCATTATGTCGTCAAAGTTGACATGGCTAATGTCGTTGCTGGTGATCGTCTCACACGTCATGCAGCGTTGTCATGTGGTAACCTCGACGCAGAAAGCTGTATCTAAAAAATCAGTTTGGTAACGTTTAGTGGAACAATCAATGATTTCTTACGTATTGACAGTAACGTGACGGTGGTGAAGTCACCTGCAGGAACAGAATAAGCGATGTTAGGCTTGGAGTGGCGGCGCTGATCAAACGCTTCCTGTTGTGTAGTTGTACATGTTAGAGAGCTCGGGGACGAAAGTTCATTGAAATTTAGTGTCGTGTCAGGACGCTCCACATGTCTGACAGGGAAGGAAGACTGAAGCTCACACGGAAACCAGTGGTTGGTATTTAAAACAACAACAAAAGGAGCAAAGTATAAAAAATAATAATAAACAATACTATTAAGTGTAACAAAATGCTACATATATCCAGCAATTGACTGCAAAGTTTTATATAAATGTCTTTTTTTGTCAGTTTCCTAATAATATTTATTCCAGTAATGACGTGAATACCACTTTTCACTGTTACTGAGTAGTAACAAGAATATAGGAAGTAGTTGCCATCTACTGTTTCCTTTTTGCTGTGATTACACATTTCAGTGCTTGATGTGCTTGTCACTGCAAACCTGACAGTTCTTCCAGGCTTACACTGACAGGCAGTAATGGCTACTTCATGGTCGAATGTTTGATACCTCCAGCTTTCACTGTGTTATTCTGCCTTTTGGGCACATTTAAAGAGAAATTCAGCAGAAAATAAAAATGTGGACCAACAACTAGTGTAAATGTTCAAAGTGACGAATATTGCAAACATTTGCAGAGGCGTCTAGATGACTTGTTTTCAAACGTGCTGTATCAGGCAGGCAGACATCTCCAAACACATGTGATTTGTAGCCTTGGGAAATACACTGGATTACATGTTATCAAATACTCATTTGAAATAAATAGTAATAACATGACAGGCTGTATTGGAATGTTATTGACAAAAACCTGTGAGAATGAATTTCAGTCTTGTTATGTCAGCAACACACTTATGTAAATCAGACTGTGCAACTGGTTGTTTTTTGTCTTTATATTTCATTTGGAGGTACTGGATGAGGCGTATCTGTGCTAATGGAAGCCTGTTAGAAACAGTTGTCTGCTGCCTGGCCAGTTGGGGAGTGTACCACTTCTTGGGCAGATGGTAGTTAGAAAGCTTTAACTCATCAGCCATGCTGGTTGGTAGCCGTCTATCTCTGTTTGAGCAGGAAGGCGGGCTGCAGGATGACCCATGATTAAATCCCATTCATTTATCATCATCATTGCTTTTCATGGTAAAAATGTCTTTTACTGACAAGCTCTTTGCCTTGTGCTGTTCCAGTGTTGCTTAACATTATACCTGTTTAAGCAGAAAGTAGATCTGTCTTTAACTGTAGTGTTACTTCTTCAGACTAAACACGAATTAGGTCAGTGATTGGCAAATGCAGGCACATGGTCAGGCAGTGGTTTAGGCAGAGCTTGTTGTGGCAGAACATGTTTTCAGTATCGTTTGATCATGTTCGGTTAATTATGGCCAAAATCATGATCAGGACGCTGTTGTGTCTGTTCTGTTTGATAGGGCCGAAGCACTTATAGTTCATTTCAATTTTATGAACATGGCACCAATTGAAAACAATAGTTGCTTCATATTGTAAAGTAAAAGTGGCATGGAGATTTTGCCATGAAACAGGAAGTTGTTGTTGTGAAATCTGGTCGTGTAATGTCCCAAGATGGGCCGTAGCCTAAACCCAGCTGAAGCCAGGTATTTGGCAACATTGTGAGGCTTTGTATTTGAGGAAACTCCTCGTGGGGATCTTACTGGATCAATTTTAAAATGGGATATTTTTTTCTGCAGGAACATCCCAAAGCCTTTCAGTTCATCTATGTGAGCTCACAGCAGAGCGAGACTAAAGATTGATACAGAAATGTGTCATCTTCCTTTTGCGATACTTTATCAACACACCATTGTCAAATATCAGTGGTGAGCGAGCCTGAATGTTCATCCAGTATGCAGGCTCTCTAACTGACCTCACTCATCCCAGCCTGTTTGACTTCATGGGGACACTCGTCCAAACAAGAGTTTATTCATTTGCTGGGGTGCAGAACATTGAATAAAGGATGGATAGTGAGAGCAAGTCAGAGTATCATTCTGTTAAACCGACACTAACAAACAGCCTCCAGTATTTATTTCAGTTTTTTAATGCATTTCTTTAATAACATGCTAGCAGGTGCACAGCGGTGCTGTTGGTAACACTGAGAGTCCTTGGCTCCAGTCCAGTCTGCGCTCTTTCAGTTGGACTTTATTTCTTCACTTCAGTTTTAGTTTTACAGATCGGCAGCCTGGCCCAGGGTCTACCCTGCTTCTCACTCCATGACAGCTGGGACAGGTTCCTGATGGAAACATAGTAGAACAGCAACAACGGGAGTCATCACACAGTTATTTTAACAGTGTGTTGAATGGAGTAAAGTAATTCCTGCTTTCTGTCTTGCAGTTAGAGCTGAGCGATAAAACAATAGAAATCCTGCAGAAACATAGTTGCTTCATTATTGCTCCGTAGTGGCTTCATAGCTGTAAAAACATGGTCATTATAAAGTCGGTCGAGCTTGTTCCATCCGTGTTTTGACAGAAAACATGAAAGGTCAACAGCAGTTGCACAGGTCGCAGGTCTGATTCATACAGACGACTAACTGCCAACTCCGTTTAGTGCCCGTCGTGGACCCTCTGTTCCCCTTGGACAATAAGCGGTTGTCAGTTTTACTTTTGTTCTGCTTTGTTTACCCTGTAAACTTTGTTGAATTTATGGTGAAGACTCACACAAAGGCTTTCACACTTTCCATTTTTGGGTTTGTTTCCCAACAATTGAAAATTGTTTGTTTTTATACCAAAAACCAGAGATAGAGGCGCTCAGCTGTGAAAGGCTGGATATTGTGGACACCCACCTTTGAGGGGACATTTTAGTGTCACGGTCAGGAGTCAAGTGTTGTTTCAAATCTTGTGAGCATAATAAGATGAGAAAAGTGTTTCCTAGGGGTTTCTTTTTCATACCGTACGTACATCTGCTAGCAGGTGGAGGGCTTTTTGTTTGTTTTTCCCGCTTTAGGCTGCAGTGGCTTGAACACAGACCACATAAGATGTGTGGAAGTTGGGCAATTTAAAAGTAGGAGCCATCAGACAACCAGACAACCTTTATAGAGGATTACATTGGTTCCCATGTTGTGAGGATAACCTAGACTTGGTCACAAACATTGACAGAGTTCTTGCAAGGCTTCATAAGTCCACATCCACCCTCACCAAATCAGGTGGACCCTACACTAATGCATGACCAACCACCTGTTGGAATTCTTTATATGAGGAATTTCTTAATCAGACCGTGTGTATAGTCCCAGCAGGGGACACGTGGCAGCTGATGGCAGCTACAGAGATACAATCTAAGAAACAGAAGCACACAACTCACCTCCGTCTTACCATTAATGTCAAAAATACAAGTCTAGGGCAGGGCTCTAGACCAGCGGTCCCCAACCCCCGGGCCTCGGACCGGTACCGGTCCGTGAGTCGTTTGGTACCGGGCCGGGAGAGTTGAGGCTCAGGTGTGAAATGTGTAGTTTTCAGGGTTTTTATTGGTTTTCAGTGTTATTTTGTTATCGTTTTTATCGTTAACTCTGTTTTCCTGGGTCTTTTCACGTGTGTTATGAATAAACCTTCTGTTTTTAGTTTTATTTTGTTGTATTTATCCGCGACACCTTAAAGGCCGGTCCATGAAAATATTGTCGGGCATAAACCGGTCCGTGGCACAAAAAAGGTTGGAGACCGCTGCTCTAGACTAACTCTTTGCCACGGTTGCACCAGTGCGCCTAACTTTTTCTCTTAGGCACATCAGCACAAAAGTTAGGTGCACCCAAATTTTTCAACTGCATTGCTTAACACTGCAGTAAGAGTAATATTAAACCATTGTTGGAAACTGGAATTGGCTGCAGTCCTGGGATAGGTGACGAGCCAGGTGATGAAGGCTGTCCCAATTCGAAGGCTTAGTTTTAATATTACTCTTTCTGGGTCACAAAATAAACTTTAAAGACATTTTCAGGCGAGAATGTAGCTGTGTGAACTTCAAACATCTGCTCGGTCCCAGATCAGATGCACACACTGGGACTCTTTCTCATGTTGCTGTCTGTGTTTATTGTGCTGTGATGTGTTGATACCTGTGCATTCCTGTATTATCCTTCTGTGTTACACATTTCGATGTTTTTTTCCTCGCTACCTGGCCTGACCTGTCTCCACAATGTGATGTTTGTGTTGTATGTACGGTTGGCAAGGTCTGTCATCTCGGTTGTGGGCAAAAGACCTGCAACTGACAAATAAAGGCTATCTCATCTCATCATCTCATCTCAAGACGTCGCATATTTGCAAAAGTGCTCGAAGTTTTTGGAGACGTCTGTTACCCACCAGCTCGACGTTTTGTGAGATCTCGCAAAAGTTCATCTTCATTTTTTTCTCCCATGTCCCTTGCTGGGCTCCGTAGTTATCCAAACATTTTGTGAAATAGTTTCAGTCAAAGAAAAATGAAAACGGTCTCACGATTAGCTGCTGCTGGTTTGCGCGATCTTAAAGTTGCCTTCAGTAGCCAGATCTGTCCACATCTGAATGCTGATGCTACACGAGTGTCTTTGTGTTTTTAACCTTATCAGGTAAGAGCAAGGAGGCTGAGATCAAACGGATTAATAAAGAGCTGGCCAACATCCGCTCCAAGTTCAAAGGGGACAAGGCTTTGGATGGCTACAGCAAGAAGAAGTATGTCTGCAAGCTGCTCTTTATCTTTCTGCTTGGCCATGACATTGACTTTGGACACATGGAGGCCGTCAACCTGCTGAGCTCCAACAAGTACACAGAGAAACAGATTGTAAGTCTTTCACAGCGTTGTAGTCTTGTTCTTTAAATGCATGTCAGTGTGTGAGATGCATGCAAGTGTTGCACTACTTGTGTGTGTGTGTGTGTGTGTGTGTGTGTGTGTGTGTGTGTGTGTGTGTGTGTGTGTGT